AAAAAAACCAGGCTTTTCAACCCCACATCTCGCCAGCGCGCGGGCTCTCCTTAGCCGAGAAACGGAAAAACCTCAACCAACCCATGTCTTCCGAGGAGCCATTCACCCGATTCCTGCATCCAAACGGCGGTGCAAAGCCGGAAAAAGCTTTTCTGGCGATACGCAAGCCAAGCCCCTTGGGAGTAGTTCTCTTGAAGTTGGAGAAACCGCGGGGGAGGGCAAATTACAAACCTGGGGATTTACACAGCTCCTTGTATGTATGCTGCTTGGCGCCGAATGGCGCAAGTCACTGCGCGTCATGTGCTGCGACATGACACCAAGAAGCTTACTCGATCGAATGGTTGTCATGAACTTGGCCCGACGGACAAGGCGGACTTCGATGAGTTTTTGCTCGAGGTTCACACGTTTTGCCGCTGGGGAAACCGGAGAGGGTGGTGGGCTGGAGGCGCCTGTGAGAAAGCCTAGCGCTGAAACCACGGCAGTGTGCAGCTGGATTAGATACTGCATCTGGCAGTCGTACAGTAGCAGAGTACACATATCTATGCACATCCATAATCCATGCGGAGACTCGTCGCAACCTCGTGTTGATGGGAACGACTTGCCTGCCTGTTTGGACACAGGTGCAACTGGAACGAGAGCCGCTGGTTTCCCCGGTTCCTCCCTCCATGTTTTTTTTTTCGCTGACGGCGCTAAAGCTGGCAGTCAGAGCCGGAAAGTGTCGATCATTCACTTTATCCGTAGTTAGGATGGTTACCATTAAACGTTCGTTAGGCGGCAGCTGATACAGCAATCGTTGCCTTCCACAGTTGGTGAACCAGGCTTGACACACCTAAGTGCATAGCCATGTATCTATCACAGCAACCACCTCGTAAAAAGGCGATCGGCATTCAAATGGTCCGCCAGCACCACGGCCGGCTTCCCCGCATCTGACCAGTGAGCTAAATTGCAATTTCAACTCGCGGCCAACGCGGGGGGCGGGTGGGGGCATAACCAGACCGCCACACAAAACGTTGCGTGCCGATCACTGAGCCATTCGTTATGTGCCCGCATTCACTGCACTCGCTTTGGGGGATTTCGGTGAGTGAGCAGAAAATCTGTTCCAGCTTCCTCCAGAAACACAAATGACGACCGAGGTGTGGCCAGTTACACAAGACCTGTGCATATCGAATACGCAGCGCTCTCGGGTCTCACGACATATGCATCTGTGCAGCCCGCTGCGGGAACGTGTTGACGCGCAGGTTTCGACGCCTCTCCCTTTTGCAGCGGCGCGGGAGAACGGAACATGCAAAAAGCAAAGCTCCAACAGATCTGCCCACCGCCAGCCAGCCAGCCACAGCCCGCCACCGAACTGCTTTGCTTCCATTCCTCCCGGGTAGGCCCCGGCCGCCCCACCGTCTGGGGAACCTTGCTGCAGCCAAGGATCAGGTCTCTGCCTCGTATCACTGAGCATGTATGTTTGCATTCATTGCATGCGTTCAAGGCCAATCTATCGGGCTTTTTGCCCCCCCTCACCCCCCCCATGGCCACCACATCCACCTCTCATTGCAGGCCACCTCCGGGACCTATTTAAGCAGCGCAGAACGCCCCACCTCGTTTCTTCCGAGAGCTCATCACCGGAAGCACTCCCTCTGAGTCGATCTTGTAGTTTTTCTGCAGCGAATCGACTTTCCGATGGCGGACGAAAAGATCGGAGCGGTTCACGCCAATGATCCCGCTCATGCAGAGCACCGGGGCAACCTGAACCATGTTGACCTCAACGCGAACGTCGAGGCTAGGTAACGGCGAACACGGGGATACGAGGTTGCAGCGAATATACTGACTGAAGAAGGATTCAAAACCCGCTGGCCGACATTCCTCGCGACGAGTTGCTGCGCCAGGTCGACGCCTTCTCCGATGAGAACGGACTTGAAGAAATCCAGCCGCTGCTGAGGAAGGGCGCGCTGGTGGCACAGAACCCTACACATTTCGAGAGCATCGAGGAGCTCACCGAGGCGGAAAAAGTGCACCTCCGCTTTGAGGTCACGCACAAGTGGAAACACCCCAAAGCGCTTTACCTCACTATCATCATTTGTAGTGTTGGTGCGGCTGTTCAGGGATGGGATCAGGCAAGTTCTACATTCATCTGTGGGTGCGCAGAGTGAGAGAGATCGGCAGCTGACTGGCAGTGCCCCCAGACCGGTTCGAACGGTGCCAATCTCAGCTTCCCCCAGGAATTCGGCATCGGTGCTGGCCACGACCCCACGTCACCGAACTACGACAGAGATAATTGGATTGTTGGACTTGTCAATGCTGCCCCTTACATCGGTTCTGCTTTCATGTGAGTAGTGTTTGTGCAGGTGTTTTGTGTGTTATGTTGCTTACACCAGGCTATAGAGGATGCTGGCTCTCGGATCCCATCAACTTCTACCTTGGACGACGTGGAACGATCTTTATCAGTGGTGTTTTCTGTCTCTTGACGCCAATTGGCGGTGCGCTCGCTCAGAACTGGCACGAACTGTTCGCCACACGTATCTTGATGGGCATCGGGTTTGGTTCTCCAAGTTCCAGAAACCGGGAACACAGTTGGCTGATCTTCCACTCAGAATGGGCTTAAAAGGTGCTTGCGTCCCTATTTTTGCTGCAGAGAACGCGCCAGCTGCAATTCGTGGTGCGCTTGTCATGACATGGTAGGGCATCAACACTGTCAAACATCGGGAAGTGCATTCTAATGAGGACTCAGGCAAATGTGGACCGCCTTCGGTATCTTCTTGGGATTCTGTGCCAATCTCGCCGTCTATGATGTGGGACGCATTGCGTGGCGCTTGCAAATTGGTTCCGCTTTCATTCCAGCCATTCCTCTCACCCTTGGAATCTTCTTCTGCCCGGAATCCCCTCGTTGGTATATCAAAAAGAGGCGGTATCTCGATGCCTATAAGTCCCTCAAGAGGCTGCGAAACAGCGAGCTCCAGGCTGCCCGGTAAATACCTCCTCATATTAAACACTGCAGTCACTGACATGACCTCAGTGATCTCTACTATATCCAGGCCCAGGTTGAGATCGAAACCGCTGTCGTTGGAAAGACCAACTACGTGACCAGGTTTATCGAGCTGTTCACCGTCCCACGTGTCCGCCGAGCAACTCTCGCCGCGTTTACCGTCATGATTGGCCAGCAAATGTGCGGTATCAACATCATCGCTTTCTATTCCTCCACCATTTTCGTCGAGGCCGGTGCCTCCCAGAAGAACGCTTTGCTGGCTTCGTTCGGATTTGGTCTGGTGAACTTCGTCTTTGCATGGCCGGCTTTCTTCACTATTGATACTTTCGGACGTCGTTCCTTGCTCCTTTTCACGTTCCCTCAGATGGCTTGGACACTTCTTGCCGCTGGATTCTGCTTCTACATCCCGGAAGCGAACAAGGCACACTTGGGAATGATCGCATTCTTCATCTTCCTCTTCGCCGCCTTCTACTCGCCTGGTGAAGGGCCAGTACCCTTCACCTACAGCGCCGAAGTGTTCCCACTGTCTCACCGAGAAGTCGGTATGGGCTTTGCCGTTGCGACGTGTCTCTTCTGGGCGGCCGTGCTCTCGATCACCTTCCCCCGGCTGCTCCAGGCGTTCACGCCGGTTGGTGCATTCGGCTTTTACGCCGGATTGAACGTAGCTGCGTTCTGCATGATCTTCCTATTTGTAAGTTTTCCAGGTTCCAACCTTAATCCGATCCCTGTTCTCCGAGCCGTGTTGCTGACTGGATTGCAGGTGCCTGAGACCAAACAGCGCACCCTCGAGGAATTGGACTACATCTTTGCCGTGCCACTCAGGAAGTTCATCAAGTATCAGACGTCGGTGGCGCTGCCGTGGTGGTTCAAGCGCTACGTTCTGATGCAGAAGAACTCGCGGTGCGAGCCACTCTACCACTTTGACCGTGGCGTTGCGGGCGCGCAGAGCCAGAGCGAACTGGACGACAAGGAAGAGGCACGAAGTAACTGATAGGGTGGGGGTGATTGTAATGTGTCCACGAAAAAGTTGTATTGGTTGTATGTACCTACGAATAAAATGATAACTCTAATTGGCTGGGAATTGCCTCACCCTCACCGGTACGTCGTACAAAGCCGGGCGCATCACGCGCGTAGAGGATACCCGCCGCGATGCAGCTCTTGGCGTGTCCTTCCCCTTCAAATCGTGCTTATCTCACATCACATCATCACATCACGGCTTGTGCAACGCAACATGCGCTCTGTTACTGGAAACAGAAGTCGTTCCCTTCCCACTCGGTGGTGCCCGGTTCCTGCAAAGATCTGCACCTTGGTTTTGGGTAATGATGAGGGGTTCGCCGGCCCGTCGTGCTCGGCATGTGAAACGCCCCAGCATCCAGTGTTTCTCCACCAATATTGTTGGAAAATCAGAATACAAGATAGGTCAGAATGTCGGAGTGGTTAACGAGTGAGACTTGAATTCTTCAGATATCTCATGCCTTCGGGCGCGCAGGTTCGAATCCTGTTTCTGACGGTTGGTTTTTTTTTTTTCAACCTTTTAGGTTAAGTTTGGAGAGCCGCTAGGTTGCGGTACTACCGTATCGTCTGTGTCTTGAGCAACGCGGGGGTGTTGCCAAGCTATCAAAAAGTTAATTTTTAAAGACTCGCGCGCGGGCGATGCTGTATCTATAGTGCAGGCACTTATAAACCTCGTTGTCGCACGTCCCCGGTTGGTGAAGATGGGTGGAGATGGACGACCATAATGAACGCAGTTATCCCCGCGTGCGAACTCTGAGCAGACACCACGTTTCTCGACCAAACAAGATGCGCTCTATGATTCTACGTGGTGCAGCTCCACCGGTTTAACACCGTTGTACTCTGGTTATGGGGTCGCAACTATGGATTGTGAAAAGCTTGGACCAGCTGAATGGCAACCACTTGCCAACATCTTGAGGGTGAACTCGGTCCGAGCATTGAGGTTCTTTCGTCATGACTTTGATCCATAATGCCGGCTGCTCCCAGCTTCGTATACCACTGGTACAACGACCCTCCAGCAGCAGCAACTTGAACACAATGGGCAAGCCGAACAAAAGAAAGGTACAATCACGACAAGCGGGTGCCATCAGCGCATCTCGGACTTGGAAACGCAGTTGTCTCGGCGATGCCGAGTCTCTCGGCGGCGGTGAATCTCTCGGCGCAGCCTGACTTTAAAGGTCAGCGTAGTCGGATTGAGGGGATTGTCGAGGATGCGGGACACCTAGTAACGTTCTATCCTAAGTTTCCACTGCGAACTTAACTGGATCGGATATTACTGGGGCACTATGCCCGGACGCACTGCAACTGCACTCTGCCCGGTATTTAACCCTTCCTCGGTAATGCAACAGTAGCTAACAGCCATCAGGTCTTATGGAGGCAGTCCCTGAAGCTTTGGAGTCTGTGGAGCCATCGCTCATTTTCAAGTACTGGCGACGAACTCAGCGTGTTATCCAGGCATAGGGAAGGTGCCACCTTTGGAGACGAGGAGTACAGAGCGCGGGTCTATACCAGTCACTGGCGGGTCTTACAGCGAGAGCCAGGCGCAGATGGGCAATAAATTGATTATTGGGGTCACGGTCCACCTGGCCCCAGCGTTCGCTCTGAACTTTGGTCCCCACCACTTCGTACCCTTTGACCACCATCTACACTGTGTCCGCTGCTTACTTTCCGACGAAAATATCCGTGCGACAACTAGGTCTATAGCTGCCTGCACCATACCTCCATCCCGTCGCCCCGCCACTGGCAGCGATACTCCATTAAGAATCCCGCCACTATCCCCACCGTTGTGGCGTGCGGTTTCCCATGATGAGGTTTTCTTAAAAGCCATTTTCAGCCTTTCGGCCTGCTCTTGCCTCAAAAACTAAGATAGGAATCAGCGTCCCCGTCTATTTCAATCCAGTCTGCCTAGGGTTTTTGATGTTCGGCATGGTGTTTGTTTGTTTTACTGGCAATTTCGCCGGCGGGTACATATGAAATGTGGTGGTGAAGGTGTTGCCGGTGACTCCTCGTGTCACGAAATCATAATTTCTACGTCATTACCAGCTTTTTTCTAATCATCGTCCGGCCAACTGCCTGGCGCCACAGAGCCGCCGTGCGAAAACAGCGGCTTGGCCAAACGCTCTTGCGCCCGAACCTTCCATATCGCTAGGTTCGTCGGTTTCGTTTCGTTTCAATCATATTGCATTCGGCCGCTAGGTTCGTCGGTGAAATGTAGGATTATTGATTTGGTTTGCTGCCTCCGCCCGACTCTGGCAACAATGGTGTACCGTGTCCAATCTTCATACAGCCCAGCCTAACGCTGGATGGCTATGGAGAACACTGCTGTACGCCTCTACATGCAATAGATCACCTTGACCTACGAAGGATGCTGGCCTAGGTACTCCACCTAACACGGTTTCTTGACAAAATTGGCCTCGTTTTTTGCCCCCCCCCCCCCAATAGGTGGGTAATTTGGTCTTCTCTTTCACCACTGCACTCACAGAGTTTTTCCCACTCGTTCATCACAAGGCCTATGGATCTAAAGGCAAGTAAATCACCATTCTTCTATGCTCTGTCGAAGGAAGCTAACTAAACACTAGAATCTCGGTCAATCCGTGATAACATTTCTCCATTTGGCTCACCAACCGGTGATTACCAAGGAATTAACCAAACGCAACGTTGTTTTATCAAAACGCCGTTGGAACTCAAGATTGAGCAGAAAATATGTACCACTGCGAGCACTGCCACTACCAGTTCAGAGGGCGTATGGTGTCGAGCATGTTGGAGTTTTATTCGACAGTTCTGAACAGTGTTCCTAATAGCCAGCCCGCCCGTCGGGCGGTGTTTGGGCTGTTTGGGCTGCCAAGGAAGCCGGGCGGGCTGTTTGGGCTGAAGAAATTCTACGGGCTGGCGGGCGGGCTGCCACACAGGTAGTACAAGTAGAAAAATTCAATTTTTTGCAACGCAATATGGCGGTTGCCCCGCGCCTACACTGTGCTAAAGAAAATGTCTCCGTTGTCCCGCACCTACACTGCCTGAAAAAAAACATCCCCTTTCCTGAACGGGGTCCACCGAGGCCTGAACGGCGTCCACCGGGTGCAATCCCAGCGACGCAGGATTGGTAGGCATATTGGCGTTGAGTGGGGCGTTGAAAGAATGATTGCCTGGTCAACGGACGCTGTTGGCGGCACCCCTCTAAGTACGCGGCTCACTATCTATCACTCGGTAGTTATACAGCCCACAGCCCGCCCGTGGCAATTTTAGACAGCCCGGCGTAACACGGCAACCGCCAGGCTGTGGCTCTTTCGCAGCCCGCCCGACCAGCCGGGCTTTTCCGGCTGGCTATTAGGAACACTGGTTCTGAAGCAGAAATGGTCATCAATTCCCTTGTTAAGTATTATGGTGGGGCTCAATTTCCAGCAGACCTCCAGGAGCGTGATATACTATATCACGACGGGACATCCCGGAGCTCTTACATCACATATTATCTACTCACCCCCGCTGTAGACATGACTGGAATGTTGTACCACGTTCTCTTCACGGAAAACTTTCGAAAAGTTGACATTATCGACGGAGGCACACATCAGATGGCCATAGATTTCATCTGGTTGGAATCACTGAGGTGATTGATTGAATGTTTCTGTGTTTACTTTGTTCAATTGTACCATGATGGTACACAACAAGTCTATAGAAATGTTACAGGCGATCGATAGAAAGGAATTTCTTTGTCTGAATGATCACAATGCGAACGAGAGAGGACACGACAGGGCTCGCAGTTCCACAGGAGACGGATGGTCCTAAACGATCGGGGCCCAGGCTCTGTTTAGACGTCGTACCGAGGATAGTGCTCTCGACTAACACCCAATCCACCTTGAGGTAGGCTGGACCAGGGCCGCCATCGTATGACATAGCGCGTTGCCCCTGGGCGTTGACGTCGGCGCCTGTTCTGGTGTTTTGGTCCGTTCAGCTAGCCGCGCCGTTTGGTGCGGGAGAACGTACCGGGTCACGCACTGGGTTGCTTGGTTGGGCGGAACAGGCGCCGACGTCAACGCCGAAGGCGGCTAATTACGCGCTCCTGGCGGCAGCCAAGAACGGCCATTCTCATCGACCACGGAGTCGGCATGAAGAAAACAACGGCTTGCACACGGTAATATCGATAGCATGTAAAAGCTGCTGCAAGCAGACGCGGCTATTTCAACATTTATAGATGCGTTTAGTCACCACTACTCTTCTCCTGAGCAGTCCCATGCGAAGAAATGAGCACGCGGATAACCAGATTGCTCATGTGCGAACAGATTTTCGCCCGCTCCCTCTCTCCACTCCTTGCTTCTCTTCTTTCCCTAAGCAGTAGATAGTCGATCCACTAGGGGGTCTCAATAACCTCCGTTCTCCACGTACATTGTTGAAAGAGTGAAGCTTTTGTGTGTACGTTCCCGCAATGTACGTCGCGAACGGAGGTTATTGAGACCCCCTAATAGATCTCCACCTTATCGTGCCGCTACGCGACGCACCCGTGCCACAACAGGTCCTCGCGCTTTCGAGTGATTGACCGATAGATCGATTGGCTCTGTGAAGTGGGGTTTTCCATTTAGGACACCGACCCCCGACAAGGCTAGGATACCCAAGTACCAACTCGCCTGCGGGTCTGAGCGGTTACCGTCTCTGATTGTGCACGACTCATCACACGCAGGCCCCGAGTTCCACGGCTTGTGCAACCCCAATGAGTTATGTGGAATGTGACGAACAAGGCGCAGCAAAAGCATGTTTCTGAGGCTGCCCTAAGAACATTGACCGCATGACATGGAGACTTCGCGAAACGCTTCTCCCCGCTCCAGCAAATTTTTCCGTACTGGCGATGCTGTGGACTTTAGTGGTTGTGGTATTGTGGTAGGAAGGTAGTACGGCAACTTCAGCGCTATTGCATGAGGAATCACTCGCTGTCGCGATCCCGCCTGGATTATCGCACCCGCTATTTCACAGCGGCGACTGTTGCAAATTACATAGGGAACTGTCACAACATAACGAAGTATTGGTAGACCACGCGGTTACGGCTGCAAAACCAATTTCTAGCCCAAGGGCCCTTAAATTCCTTGAGAACTGCACACAGTACCGCCGCTATAAAAGTCAACCCCACCAAATCCCCCGTGAGAGCCGTACCAAATAAAGGAACCCCAAGCAAGAGTACGAAAGAAAGAATAACAGGTAAAAAAAAATTGACCCGCTGACCACGTCCCAGAAAAACTAACAAAGACAGAATCCCGACAAAATGCCAATCCGTCCCATAACTCCGGGCCACCAGAATTACGACTTCGGAGTCGCACCCATTCCGAGCTTCGACAGACCATCACTGAGAGCCGCGGCAGCCGCAACAATGGCGGAGGAGCCACCGGACGTCTGCTGCTTACCCGCATAGCGGCGCTCATAAGCCGTTTTCAGCAAGTCATGGACCAGCGCGGGTTCATCGATATATTGAGCCATCTTTTTGCCGCCCTTTCTCTCGGCAGCAGGGAGCAAAACGCC